TTTTTGAGACAGGGCCTTGCTATGTAGTTGAGACTGACCAGGAACTCACTATGTAGCCCAGGCTGGTCTCGAACTCCCAGCGATCCTCCTGCCTCAGCCTCCCGAGTACTGGGATTCCAGGCGTGCACCACCACACCTGGCATTAGACACCTATCTTAACCTCATCTCCCCAAGGCAAGCACAGCTAATACTTCGTTTTCCTCCAGCTCTGTTTCCCGGGAGGCAACCTTTTTAGTATCAGAGAGCATCGTTTCTACGTTGAGTGGTCTTGAGGCTTTTACCTAGCTTCTAGCCCCTAAGACTCATCTGTATCCATGTCTCATGCTTTGGGAGGCCACTAGTGATTTCAATACCCATCTACCTTCAGAATAAGTTCTTTTTTTCTACCTGGGGATTTTCATTTTCTTTGAAATGTGCTTATACACAAGGAAATGATTCTACTTTGGTCAGCACACACTGTTTGGACAAGAAGCGGGCACTTACACAAGTTAAATCAGTCTGAAGGAAATCTGTTTAATTTTCCTAGGGAACTGATTGTGGTGCTGGGGACTGAACCTGAGATCTCACATGTGAAGTAAGAAAGAGCTCTACTACTGATTTAATTCCCAGCCCTTCCTGGGAAATTATGACAAAGACAAAACAAAGAAAACAAAGTTGGAATTGCTCCCCATCTTGTCTTTCACTTTTCTATTTAACAACACATTTTCCCCACGGGCCTGCTCTCAACTCTCTCTCAGGAGTTTAGCACAAGGCCAAGCACACGGACAACAGTTATTTGTTCAAGGGCAGCTTACTCTGTAAAGGCCAATAACTCTGTAAAGACTAGTAATGGTAGGTGAGTGAGGAAGCCTGGATGAAACCCTTTTGAGGAACGGAATGGGGGCACAAAATGGGGCACACATAGCTGAGTGGATCTTTATTATATTAAGTTCACCTTGGAGTTTTCAAAACTGTTCAACACAGAGGAGCAGGATCCTCTTTTCCCAGTTCTGGCAACAGATGTCTTTCTACAGCTGAGACTAACTGGGTGGGATCAGGAAGCCACTTAACCAGCTGCTGCTTTTTTTCCTTTTCCTCATTAGAGAAGCCAAGACAACTCTGTCAAAGTAGGTGATGCAAGACTACTGCTGGCTCAGAAACAGTCAATCCCCTCAGGAACTTCTCTGAGAAAGATTGGCTAAAAGCTCTCAACTGGAGGTACCTGGGGAAGGGCTTCTTACATCGTGGTCAAAATAAATCCCTAGTGATTATGACCACATGGAGACAAATCTAGTGTGCAATTTGCTACAGTGCAGAAACACTTGGCTTTTAGTGGAGAAAAGTACAAATTCAGAGGCGAGTGACAGAATCTTTAGGGAAAGAGTTGCAGAAAGCAAGAGCAGGGCAATGCTGGCCTTTGTGCAAATCAGAAACGTGGTACTCATCTGTTGAAAACCTGTCACATTCACTGCACAGACTTTTCTAGTAAACACTTTACTGCCATCTCCTGGAAAACTGTCACAAAACTACACAAATTTGTGTCATCCTTTTATTAGACATCATCTGCACAACTATACAATTCAAAGCAGAAGCCAACATTTGGCGGGACTCTCACCAATTAGACGCTGTGCCAGGCGTTTATCATCTACTCTGAAGAACTAGTGTATAAACATGAATTTCTACCCTCAAATTTTACAAATTAAAATACCAGGACCCCTGGGACAGGGAGGAAAAGAATATGAGCAGAAAAGGACACATAAGACTCAATCTGTACTGGTAATGGAGATTTAACTTGGGTGGTGGGTTTATGGGTGTCCTAGTCTTCTTTATAATTTGGTACACTTTTAAAATGTTTCACACTTATTTTCCATGTGTGTAGGAGACAGTGACAGTGGATACAGAAGAAGGAAATACCTATTAAGCACTGTGCTATTCCATTCAGTTTTTTTTAAATCCTGAGACAATGGGCCTGCTTATTTTTTTTTGGTACCGGGGATCGAACTTAGGACCTCATACTTTGTGAGGCAGGAGGCGGCACCACTGAGCTAAATCCCCAGCCCTAAATGGTGAGCTCTAATCAAACGCACATTTAACAACATCAAAGATGAAATTTCATGAGGAAAAATTAAAATCCCCTAATCTGCCATTCCATTTCCAATTTTCTAGCTGGGTGTAGTGGCACACACCTGTAATCCCAGCACGTGGGAGGCTGAGGCAGTACGATCACTGTGAGTTTGAGACCAGCCAGGACTACATAGACCCTGTCTCAAAAAAACAACAAAAAAACAAAAACAAAAACAAATCCAATTTTCTCTATTTTATAGTAATTAGCCCTACTCTTTTGTTGTGTTTGTTTTGTTGTACTGAGTGGTGAACCTATGGTCTTTGCAATGAGCTATATTCCCAATCATTTTTCTGATTTTGAGACAGTGTCTCATTAACTCACCAAATTGAACTTGTTATCTTCCTGCCTCAGCCTTGCAGAATGCTGGGCTTACAGGTGTGTACCACCAACCACATCCAGTGGAGTAATTAGCCTTGCTCTGAAGGCCATTTTACAAAATATAATCCCGTCTCTGATAATCACACTGTAGCAACTTAATACTCCTCTCATGTATAAAACAAGAATAAATACATTAGAATTAGCTGGGCATGGTGATGCACACCTGTAATCCCAGCAGATGAGAGGCTGAAGCAGGAGGATCACTGTGAATTTGAGGCCATAGTGATTTCAAGGCCAGCCTGAACTACGCAGCAAGACTCTGTGTCAAACAAACAAACAAAAAACAAAAGAATATGTTGGAATTAAAGTACACAGTGCCGGGGATTTAGCTCAGTGGTTCCATTGCCTGCCTCACAAGTATAAGGACCTGAGTTCGATCCCCAGTACCAAAAACAAAAACAAATTAAAGTCCACATTAAGTTGCACGGGGATTTCAAATACATATTATATGATGCTTCCATGCATCTAAACCTTACTTCTCAACCCCCAATAATTTCAACTCCAATATGCTGGTGCCCTAAGAGTATGCAGTGAACATTTAAAAGAAACTACAAAGTCCACAAAAAATATACCTCAGGAAAAAAAACTTGTATAAATATTTTAGTACTAAATTTATCAAGACACCATGAAATTAATACCATTGACTTCTACTATTGTAAGAGGTGCTTTATCTTTCAGACATTAGTACAGAGAACTGCAGAAGTGTGCATATTATTTTTCGGTGGATTCTGTAGAAGAAATTGGGACACTAGCACTTCCTCTGGCTTCAATTTTTAAAAAAACCTGTGGTTAAATGAAAAATGGGAATTCAAATCTATCCTTACAGATATTATTCATTTGGTGTTGATAAACTTATATAATCTATTCCACCTGTTTCTAGCCCCTTTGATGGTTTATATTTTAGTTCAAGAATATAGCATGTTCCTACACACTCACCAGTGTACTCAGTCCAGGCAGGCCTCCAAAGAATCTGTAAGTGGCCTCCAGGGCTGAGCTACCTTCCATAGGAGTTATGTCATTCACAGTACTTCATGAGCCTTTTATTTAAACACTAAAAAAAAAAAAAAAAAAAAAAAAAAAAAAA